GAAGAAAGGCTAAGGGAAATCGGCCTGACGACACTGGAGGACAGGAGGGTTAGGGGAGACATGATAACGACATACAAAATACTGTGAGGAATTGACATGGTGGACAGAGATATGATGCTCCAGAGATGGGACACATAAACAGTTGGAATTTGAAGACTCAGAGGAGTCAAAGGGATGTTAGGAAGTATTTCTTTAGTCACAGAGTTGTCAGGAAGTGAAATAGTCTGGCGAGTGACGCAGTGGAACCATACATAGTTTTAAGACAAGGTTTGATAAAGCTCATGGAGCAGGGAGAGAGAGAACTTAGTAGCGATCAGTGAAGAGGCGGGGCCTGGAGTAACAACTTGACCCCTGCAACCACAAATAGGTGAGTGCACACACTGAGCCATATGCACACACACACACACACACACACACACGCACGCAGAATCGACTCGAACAGGATCCTGCAGGAGAAAGCACGGTTAAGGGACATGACGGCATACAGGAACACAAGAAGAAAGGCAGAAACTGAGAGAGATGGTACAAAGGCGAAAGGAGGAAAGAGAGGGGATGGAGAAGACAGACAGGAGATCCCAGACCCAGGAAGAAGATCAAATACAGCCTCCCTCACAAGTTCCTATAGAAGCCTCCCAACCAGGTCAACCCCAGTGCAACCAAACACTCTAAACCAAAACACCCATGCCACATCCAATGCCCCCACCCACTGCATTACAACCTTCAACCACAGAGCAACCACCCATAGTTCCTTATCAGGTCTCCCACTTCCCCAACCCCAATACACCTCCCAGATCACAGTCTTAGAAAAGAACTTGAAGGTGTGGTATACAAATGCAGATGGAATAACAAATAAGTATGAGGAGTGGCACGAAAGAATCAAGGAGACATCCCCAGACATAATAGCACTCACAGAAACAAAACTCACCAGAATAATAACAGATTCAATCTTTCCATCCGGATATCAAATCCTCAGGAAAGACAGAGGGAGGAGAGGGGGAGGAGGAGTTGCACTGCTCATTAAAAACCAGTGGGGTTTTGAGAAAATGGAAGGAATGGATGGCACGGGCGAAAGGGACTACTTAGTAGGAACAATCCAGTCTGAGGGACATAAGGTGATAATTGCAGTAATGTACAACCCACCACAGAACTGCAGGAGGCCAAGAGAAGAATACGATGAGAGCAACAGAGCAATGGTCGACACACTAGCCGAGCTGGCCAGGAGAGCACACATGGAGGGAGCAAAGTTACTAGTTATGGGTGATTTCAATCACAAGGAGATTGACTGTGAAAACCTGGAGCCCCATGGGGGTCCCGAAACATGGAGAGCCAAGATGATGGATGTGGTACTGGAAAACCTCATGCATCAACATGTTAGAGACACTACCAGAGAGAGAGGAAAGGATGAACCAGCAAGACTGGACCTTATATTCACCTTGAGTAGTTTGGACATCGAGGATATCACGTATGAAAGGCCCCTGGGAGCTAGTGATCATGTGGTTCTGTGCTTCGACTACATAGTTGACCTCCAAGTGGAGAGAGTAGCAGGAATAGGGTGGGAAAAACCAAACTACAAAAGGGGGAACTACTCAGGCATGAGGAACTTCCTTCAAGACATTCAGTGGGAGAGGGAACTGACAGGAAAACCAGTACAAGAAATAATGGACTATGTGGCAACAAAATGCAAGGAGGCAGAGGAGAGGTTTGTTCCCAAGGGAAACAGAAATAATGGGAAGAACAGAACGAGTCCTAGGTTCACCCAAAGGTGTAGGGAGGCAAAAACTAGGTGTACTAGAGAATGGAAAAGGTACAGAAGACAGAGAACTCAGGAAAATAAAGAGATTAGCCGAAGAGCCAGAAACGAATATGCACAGATAAGAAGGGAGGCTCAGCGACAATATGAAAATGACATAGCATCGAAAGTCAAGACTGACCCGAAGCTGTTGTACAGCCACATCAGGAGGAAAACAACAGTCAAGGACCAGGTAATCAGACTGAGGAGAGGTGATGGGGAATTCACAAGAAACGACCGGGAGGTATGTCAGGAGCTCAACACGAGATTTAAAGAAGTATTTACAGTGGAAACCAGTACGACTCCAGGAAATCAGAACAGGGGGTTACACCAGCAAGTGCTGGATGAGGTACATATAACCAAGGAGGAGGTGAAGAAGCTGTTATGCGAACTTGACACCTCAAAGGCGGTGGGACCAGACAACATATCTCCGTGGGTCCTTAAAGAGGGAGCAGAGATATTGTGTGTACCATTAACAAAGATCTTCAACACATCATTTGAAACCGGGCAACTCCCCGAGGTATGGAAGATGGCAAATGTAGTCCCAATTTTTAAAAAGGGAGACAGACATGAGGCACTAAACTACAGACCTGTATCACTAACGTGTATAGTATGCAAGGTCATGGAGAAGATCATCAGGAGGAGAGTGGTGGAGCACCTGGAAAGAAACAAGTGTATAATTGACAACCAGCACGGTTTCAGGGAAGGAAAATCCTGTGTCACAAACCTACTAGAGTTTTATGACAAGGTGACAGAAGTAAGACAAGAGAGAGAGGGGTGGATCGACTGCATTTTTTTTGGACTGCAAGAAGGCCTTCGACACAGTTCCTCACAAGAGGTTACTGCAAAATCTAGAGGATCAGGCACACATAACAGGAAATGCACTGCAATGGACCAGAGAATACCTGACAGGGAGGCAACAACGAGTCATGGTACGTGACGAGGTGTCAGAGTGGGCGCCTGTGACAAGCGGGGTTCCACAGGGGTCAGTCGTAGGACCTGTGCTGTTCTTGGTATATGTGAACGACATAACGGAAGGGATAGACTCAAAAGTGTCCTTGTTTGCAGATGATGTGAAGTTAATGAGAAGAATCAAATCGGATGAGGATCAGGCAGAACTACAAAGAGACCTGGACAGGCTACAAGCCTGGTCCAGCAACTGGCTCCTTGAGTTTAACCCTGCCAAATGCAAAGTCATGAAGATTGGGGAAGGGCAAAGAAGACCGCAGACACAATATAGTTTAGATGGCCAAAGACTGCAAACCTCACTCAAGGAAAAAGATCTGGGGGTGAGTATAACACCGAGCATATCTCCTGAGGCGCACATCAATCAGATAACTGCTGCAGCATATGGGCGCCTGGCAAACCTACGGATAGCGTTCCGATACCTCAGTAAGGATTCGTTTAAGACTCTGTATACCATTTACGTCAGGCCCATACTGGAGTATGTAGCACCAGTTTGGAATCCACACCTAGTCAAGCACGTCAAGAAATTAGAGAAAGTGCAAAGGTTTGCAACAAGACTAGTCCCAGAGCTACGGGGATTGTCCTACGAAGAAAGGTTGAGGGAAATCGGCCTGACGACACTGGAGGACAGGAGGGTAAGGGGAGACATGATAACGACATACAAAATACTGCGCAGAATAGACAAGGTGGACAAAGACGGGATGTTCCACAGACACAAGAGGTTACAATTGGAAGTTGAAGACTCAGATGAATCAAAGGGATGTTAGGAAGTATTTCTTCAGTCATAGAGTAGTCAGGCCGTGGAATAGCCTAGAAAGTGACGTAGTGGAGGCGGGAACCATACATAGTTTTAAGGCGAGGTATGATAAAGCTCATGGGGCAGGGAGAGAGAGGACCTAGTAGCAATCAGCGAAGAGGCGGGGCCAGGAGCTATGACTCGACCCCTGTAACCACAAATAGGTGAGTACAAATGGTGAGTGCACACACACACCACACACCACACACACACACACACACACACACACACACACAACATACACACAACACACACACACACACACACACACACATACACACACACACATACACACACACACACACACACCACACACACACACACACACACACACACATACACACACACACACACACACACACACACATACATACACACACACACACACACACACACACACACACACACACACACACACACATACACACACACACACACACACACACACACACACACACACACACACATACACACACACACACAACACACACACACACACACACACATACACACACACACACAACACACACACACACACACACACACACACACATACACACACACACACACACACACACACACACACACACACACATATACACACACACACACACACACACACACACACACACACACACACACACACACACACACATACACACACACACACACACACACACACACACACATACACACACACACACACACACACACACATACACACACACACACACACACACACACACACACACCACAGATACACCACACACACACACACACACACACACACACCACACACACACACACACACACACACACACACACACACACACACCATACAGAACTGAATGATCACCTAGGAATGTTCAGCAGTATGGCTGCTGCAGACAGTGAAAAATTCCACTTGGCTGGGGAAATGGGACACCAGAGACCCAACAAACAGGAAGAGGAAACTCAGGAAGTAAAGTCAAGAGGATGTGCAGGGTCAGACAGAGAAATATTGTTGGCTGGATTTAAGTACATAATGGATGAAGTGTGGGAAATACAGCTCCTCCATCTTCTCATAAAGATGGACTGGGAAGGTCAAGGACAGTGATAGTGAAGTTTCGTGTGAACGTTAATGACAGTGGACGGATGTATATAAATATGTATATAAATATGTATATAAATATGTATATAAATATGTTTTATAACAGACTACCAGAGGGAAAATTCATTATAGTGTAGTCATTGTCTTAAATGTAGACTAATTATTGTTCTAGTTATACTTTTTATGTACAATATTTAGTGTTATAATGAAACAATTGAAGATTCCCTTTTTTATATATAATTTTAACGATATAGCACAGCAATCTAATGTATCCTGTCTTCTTTATGGGTTACTGAGCTAAACGATAACAAACTGATGTCAAATGAGTAACGCTTATTTTGTCTTTGTCTCCGGCACAGAAAGGGGAACTAATGTATGCAGAACTGTCCTTTCCCAGCTGCGGTGGTCAGTATCCCACCGCCACTTTCTCCCGCCGCAAGCCAGAACCTACTATATACGCCCAGATAGACCACTCAACTCCAGGTGTTCCTTTGTCTATGAGTGTCGTTCCTGTCAACAGTGGTAGAATTGTTGTAAGTTCTGTGGATGGACTGATGGGAGGCAACCATGGTGGCAGTGTAGCTGAAATAATGGGCGGCAGCATGGCTTGTGCAACAGGTGGCAGCATAAGCGGAAGCATAGGTGGCAGTACAGTGGGAAGGGGCGGCAGTGTGTGCCCTGGAAACATACTGACAGGTACCATTTGTCCCCAGAGCAAGACGGCAGGTGATAACAATAACTTTTCCCACAGCACTGCCACGCCGCCCTCTCATGAGGTTGCTAGACACCCTCTTATCCCGCCCATCCCTCCGGAGGAAGATGAACAGGTCACTGTAGAGACTCCCCTCATAAATAACCAGAAAAAGAGTGAACTGTGACACAACATACCTGCCTGGTCTTAGTGCACAGCCCACGAGGCCGAATTGTCGGCCTACCTTCCGACGGGACGTCTTGTTGATTCTTAATGTCCAAATTCTGATACTTTATATCTAATTATCTCAATTAATGCTTTGGAAAATATTATAGTGCATTCAACTGTGACTTGACAATATCAGTAACTACCAAGATCAAACAAATTAAGACATAGTTAAGGTTGTGTCATTTAAACACAGTAGATATCCGAGTGACGTTTGTTACTATATTTATTTCGCCAACCGTGAGTGTGGAAGAATGTCACATTTATAATTGCTAAACCAAACTTGAAGACTTTATCCACTAAATCCCCAACAACTTTAAGTTTCGTGGCTCTGTGAGTCATTAAATTTTAAAAAGCTTCAGGTGAGACCTACATCTATTTTATGAATTTAACACATGGTAAGCAAATGTGTAGGAACCTTTGAACCAAGTGAGAGAGTAATTGTGGTAGGAGACTTAAATGCTAAAGTAGGAGAAGCGTTTAGAGAGGATGTGGGAGGTAAGTTTGGAGTGACAAGTGTGAATGTAATGGAGAGCATTTGACTGAACTTTGTATAGAAAGGGATTTGATTATAGGTAATAGATATTTTAAGAAGATGAGGGTAAATAAGTATAAAATATATGATATAGGGCGCAATGAAGTAGTTGGACTAAGTATTGGTAGATAAAAGCTTTTGCAGTAGACTTCAGGATGTACATGTAGCAAAAGGTACATGGGATACAAGGAAAATGGAAGCAGATAGTAAGAGAGAGGTGAAGGTTTATAAGCTAAGGGAGGAGGCAGTTAGGGTAAGATATAAACTGCTATTGGAGGATAGATGGGCTAGTGAGAGTATAGGCAATGGGGTCGAAGATGTATGGGGTAGGTTTAAGAATGTAGTGTTAGAGTGTTCAGCAGAAGTTTGTGGTTACAGGAAAGTGGGTGCGGGAGGGAAGAAGAGCGATTGGTGGAATGATGTAAAGAGAGGAAAAAGTAAGCATTTGAGAGGTTTTTACAAAGTAGAATTGATGCAGGGAGGGAGGAGTATATGATATGGAGAGAATAAGAGATTAAGAGAGTGGTGAAGCAATGTAAAAAGAGAGCAAATGAGAGAATAGGTGAGATGTTATCAACAAATTTTGTTGAAAATAAGAAAAATAAGAAAAGAGTTATTATTGAAAGAATTAAGAGCAAGAGGGAGAGCAGTATAGCAGATGAACAAGGAGACTTTAGGAAGGGTAGGGGATGTGTAGACCAAGTTTTTACAGTGAAACATATAGGTGAACAGTATTTAGATAAAGGTAAAGATGTTTTTATGGCATTTATTGATTTGGAAAAGACGCATATGACAGAGTGGATAGGGGGGGCAATTGGCAGATGTTGCAACTGTATGGAATAGGAGGTAGGTTACTGAAAGCAGTGAAGATTTTTACGAGGATAGTGAGGCTCAGGTTAGAGTGTGTAGGAAAGAGGGAGATTATTTCCCAGCAAAAGTAGGCCATAGACAGGGATGTGTGATGTAAGCATGGTTGTTCAATATATAGATGGAGTTGTAAGAGAGGTGAATGCTCGGGTGTTGGCAAGAGGTGTGAGGTTAAAAGATAAAGAATCTAACACAAATTGGGAGTTGTCACAGTTGCTCTTTGCTGATGACACTGTTGGAGAGGCTGGTGGATGAGTTTGGGAGAGTTTGTAAAAGAATATTAAAAGTGAATATAGGAAAGAGTAAGGTGATGAGGATAACAAAAAAAATAGGTAACGAAAGATTGGATATCAGATTGGAAGGAGAGAGTATGGAGGAGGTGAATGTTTTCAGATATTTGGGAATGGACGTGTCAGCAGATGGGTCTATGAAAGATGAGGTGAATCACAGATTTGATAAGGAGTAAAAAGTGAGTGGTGCACTGAGGAGTTCGTGGAGACAAAGAACTTTATCCATGGAAGAGTTTAGTTATACTAACGCTCGTATATGGGTGTGAAGCATGGGTGGTGAATGTTGCAACAAGGAGAAGACTGAAGGCAATCTAGATGTCATGTCTGTGGGCAATGTGTGGTGTGAATATAATGCAGAGAATCCCTAGTTTAGAGATTAGGAGGAGGTGCGGGATTACCAAAACTATTATCCAACGGGCTGAGGAGGAGTTACTGAGGTGGCTCGGACATGTAGAGAGGCTGGACGAAACAGAATGACTTGAGAGTGTATAAATCTGTAGTGGAGGGAAGACTGGGTAGGGGTCGGCCTAGGAAAGGTTGGACGGAGGGAGTAAAGGAGGTTTTGTGTGGAAGAGGCTTTGGACGTCCAGCAAGCATACGTGAGAATGTTAGACAGGAGCGAATGGAAACAAATGGTTTTTAGGACTTGACGTGCTGTTGGAGTGTGAACAAGATAACATTTATGAAGGATTCAGGGAAACCGGCAGGCCGGACTTTAATTCTGGAGGTGGGAAGTACAGTGTCTGCACTCTGAAGGAGGGGTGTTAATGTTGCAGTTTTATAACTGTAGTGTAACCGTGCCTGGGGCCACCCTTCCTTGGTGGGAAACTGCCGATGTGTTTATACATATAAATATATATATATTATATATATATATATATATATATATATATATATATATATATATATATATATATATATATATATTATATATATATATATACATATAATCTCTTCTTAAAGCTGATAAAGGGCTCATTCTCCAGGGATTGGAGCTACAATCCATTTGTTTAGATCAAACTTGATTGCCTCCCATTTCCAGTTTCCCAAACTCTGCATAACCCCAGTGGGTTAAGCGCTCCCAGTGTATAATAATAAGACGGAAAAAAACTTAGGGATTAAAGTATTCTTGTTAGTGTAGAAGTGTGAAGTGTTGCCTTAATAATCCGTGTGCAGAATATAAAACTTATAATCAGACAAACGAGGCCTCTAAAGGAGAGCCAAATATATAATTAAAGTGGGTCATAAAACTATAGACACAACTGTTACATAATAATGTGAACCATTGAGAGTTTCCGTAACTCATTTCGTGTCTGACAGGAAACTTTGGATTCATTAATTAATAACTTGACTTTATTAAAGATATTTATGATTTTTCTTTGTAATAGTAAGACATGTGAGACGACATTCCTAGCCAGGATTCACATCTGAATCTGTCTATTACCTTCAGATTTCTCCCCTTCTTACTGACCGATCCGGAACTCACTTCTTCAGTGTTGTCCGGTTTAACTTAATATTATTTATTAACTCTGATTATAGATCAGTCAAGGAAGTCTTGTCTTCTTTCTTGATGATGACTTCCGGCCCGGGTCTTCTCCAGATGATGACTTCCGGCCCGGGTCTTCTCCAGATGATGACTTCCGGCCCGGGTCTTCTCCAGATGGTGACCCGGCCCGGGTCTTCTCCAGATGGTGACCCGGTCCGGGTCTTCTCCAGATGGTGACCCGGCCCGGGTCTTCTCCAGATGGTGACCCGGCCCGGGTCTTCTCCAGATGGTGACCCGGCCATGAGGAAAATTTGCATTGTACCAATGCTTTTAGGCAGAGAAGATTTATATACTTACAGTGATGCCTGTTAATTTTTATGCCTCTAATACTAAATAAATCTGACTTAAAATTTAAGACATTTTGTAGACATGTTGAGCAGGAGAAAAAATAACAAGAATTAGTTATATCGGAATTATTTTGCAGGAATATTATTCTTTTATTAGGGTGACAATCTATAAATATCCAAGTTATGTTTCTATAAAATTTAATATATATATATATATATATATATATATATATATATATATATATATATATATATATATATATATATATATATATGTGTGTGTGTGTGTGTATTTATATATATGATATGAAATTTCTGTGTATAAAGGCCAGATGTCGAAACTTCAGAGAGAGAGACAGCAAGTATCACCACTTCTAAAACAGCGAGAAAAAAAACAAGAGTGTGGTGTGTGAAGCTACAAGTGAACTCTGCAAAATAAGATATAAAACAACTATTATCTACCTGTTCTGCATTTTCCAGGTCGTCTTTTTTGGCTTGATGGAAAAAATAATAAATAAAAGAATTCACAATACGCAGGTTTTTTAATAAAATTACCAGAATTTTTTGTCCAAACCCCAGAAGCTTAAATATAGACAGATACAAGACTCAGTTATAAGACAAAGGCAAGAGGCACATAATACCAAAATATATATATATATATATATAATATATATATATATATATATATATATATATATATATATATATTATATATATGGTGTGACAGTGACACTTCACTCCGCCCTCGCGTCATGGTGCGACAGTGATACCTCCCTCTACCCTCACTTCATGGTGTGACAGTCACACCTCCCTCTACCCTCACGTCATGGTGTGACAGTCACACCTCCCTCTACCCTCACGTCATGGTGTGACAGTCACACCTCCCTCTACCCTCACGTCATAGTGTGACAGCAAGTGTAACTGGTCATGCATGCCACCCATCGTCTTTACCTTCCCTGGTGAAGGAGAAACAAACTCCACATGGGAGAGACTTAGGTGCTTGGGAAAATGCATCAAGAAAAACAAGTGTAAATAATGAGGATTTAGACACGCACGAAGAGTAAGTATTTCCTTAACAAATTTCTAAAGATATCTATTTTGCAATATTGTTAACCAAATTCAGACGTACGAGCATGTTTCCTGAGTAGAGGAATGAATATGCATCAAATAGTCAGACGAACAAACATGCGTCGTCTGGACGAATGAATAAACGTTAATGGTCAAGGGAGACCAGCAACCATGCATGACCTGGCCTGAGGTAACGAACATGCATGACGACACATGCAAAGAGCTTGCATAGTCTACAAATGGAAACGAACAATATATCTGACGAGACGATCTAACTTCTATTATGGACAGACAAACAATATATCTGACTAGACGATCTAACTTCTATTATGGACAGACAAACAATGTGTCTGACGAGACGATCTGACTTCTATTATGGACAGACAAACTGACATTCTGCTTCCCGTAGAATAATTTTTAATTACTGGCGACACTGATTTGGTAACAATTATTTTAGTATGCAGAATGAATTAGTGAGTTTATTAACAGATGTTGAGCCTGATGCTGTAGTGAGTTCACAGCTCACTACCTTGTGGTTGAATACGCGAGTGTAGTAGAGCGTTGCTGCGTTAACAACACATTTAACACATTTAGTTCAGAAATGAAGTATTTAGTTGTAGTTTGCACTCTGGTACAGTAACTCGTGGTTAACACTCTGGTACAGTAACTCGTGGTTAACACTCTGGTACAGTAACTCGTGGTTAACACTCTGGTACAGTAACTTGTGGTTAACACTCTGGTACAGTAACTTGTGGTTTACACTCTGGTACAGTAACTCGTGGTTAACACTCTGGTACAGTAACTTGTGGTTTACACTCTGGTACAGTAACTTGTGGTTAACACTCTGGTACAGTAACTTGTGGTTTACACTCTGGTACAGTAACTTGTGGTTAACACTCTGGTACAGTAACTTGTGGTTTACACTCTGGTACAGTAACTTGTGGTTAACTCTGGTACAGTAACTTGTGGTTTACACTCTGGTACAGTAACTTGTGGTTTGTGCAAGAAAGGTATACAATACCGTCAAGTTGAAAGTTAAGACACATGTGAAACATCTGGTTATCTTCACTATAGATGTTTCGCCATCCAGTGGCTTTATCAACGCAGATTCATGCACATAATTAGAAGACAGTAGAAGTATATACAAAAGATGAGGTAATCAGTCCCTCAGCTTTATTATTATTATTATCAAAATGAAGCGCTAAACCCTTATATATTCCCGTTATAGTTGTGTATCGATCCTGACGCTGTTATGGTCCCTCTGCACAACATGATCCTGGCGACGTTTCTTCTCAGTAACTTTTTTGTCCCCCGCTCAGAGTGGAGCTCAATCTTTGATTTTTAATTTATTATGATGATTTTTAACTTTTGCAATTATTTATGCATTGACGACTTGCAAGAAACGCTTATTTCACTTTGTAACTTGTAAATCTTTTATTCTCCGCTTCTACTCTTCTACCCGTGGTTTATCCTATCTTCAAGGCATGTAAAGTTACACTGTGTGGAAGCTGAATACAGTATCACTTCTGTCACTTGTCGACCTGCAGTCTAACCTATGACGCAGGATTCAAACTGTCTACTTTATGGCGTCTGTCTACAGCTCATCCTACTGGGGAGCTGCAGACTGACTGATTTCCGGCTACAGTCAATCCTTCCTGTCTGGAAGCATGCGGTCAACTTGCTTCCATTCAAGTCAGACAGCAGCTCTTCGGTCCTAGGACCTTGATCAAGGTCCCAGGACCGAAATGCTTTCTAATAAGTGTGTCCTAGTGTTTGCTTATGTGTATTTTTTTAAAAATTTGTCGGAATTAGTTGCCAAGGTTTATACAAGCAGCCCTTCTCCCTAAATCAAGGTTTATACAAGCAGCCCTTCTCCCTAAATCAAGGTTTATACAAGCAGCCCTTCTCCCTAAATCAAGGTTTATACAAGCAGCCCTTCTCCCTAAATCAAGGTTTATACAAGCAGCCCTTCTCCCTAAATCAAGGTTTATACAAGCAGCCCTTCTCCCTAAATCAAGGTTTATACAAGCAGCCCTTCTCCCTAAATCAAGGTTTATACAAGCAGCCCTTCTCCCTAAATCAAGGTTTATACAAGCACCCTTCTCCCTAAATCAAGGTTTATACAAGCAGCCCTTCTCCCTAAATCAAGGTTTATACAAGCAGCCCTTCTCCCTAAATCAAGGTTTATACAAGCAGCCCTTCTCCCTAAATCAAGGCTGCGGACTGGCAGCAATCCAAGGGAAGACTATAGGATATTGGTACACATGAACGAGGTCGGAATAACTCACCAAATACCACGAAGATAATTACGAGGCATTTCATAAAAACTAATGGTGGAATGCCATTTGGTCAGAGAAATATCCAGGATAGAGGTGTCACACTGAGACCAGAATACTGGGAACATTATACAAAGAGTGGATATATTGGACAGCGACTTATTAAGGCACATTAGGGAGCCAGAAAGAAGTAGCTGCCAAATGGCAACTCGCAAAACTTGCTCGTAAGAAACAGATTACGAAGCTCAATGGATCTTCCCTCAAGATTTTAGGCAGTGAATACGATTGACTGGAAGGCTAAGCCAGACGTAAGTGCAGGAAATAATAAATCACGTGGTTTGCCGCCGCTGACTTGTGTAACTGGGAAAACGGAGAGGACGTTTTGAGAAGCAGGATGACTGATGGCCTTAAGATGAGTGGTTTACATTCTCAGGGACGAGATGGAACAAAGATATGTATGACTGGTCATGCGTAGGATGGTTTGTACACTGACAAAAGCGAACGCAAAAACCGATGACTCACGTTGAGAATGTTATATCTAGACAAGTTATTGTTAAATAAATGTTTATTATATATAAAAGGTATACAGTACCGACAAAACGAAGAATTAGACACATGTGAAACATCTGAGAGTATCTTTACGTTATAGAC